CTCCATATTACTATATCTCTATAGTCAATAATTTTATATGAGGAATTACTGAACTCAATCACTTGCCGCCATTACTCTTCAATTTTCTATTGAGGTCTATCCTCTAGAGGTACTCAAATTGGATCAGTGATCGATTTCTAGGTTTCGTCATAAACCTATAAACTCAAATCCCTCGATGATGTATTTTATTACAAATTTTTGGCTGATAGAGGGATCAAATGTTATAGTTCATTTGTTGGTATCTTTGAGGATTAAAAGCATGACTCTTGTTTTCCAATTGGCTGTTTTTGCATTAATTGCTACTTCATCAATCTTATTGATTAGTGTACCCATTGTATTTGCTTCTCTTGATGGTTGGTCAAGTAACAAAATATTGTATTTTTTAGTACATCATTATGTATTGGGTCTTTTTGGTAGGTATCCTTAATTCTCTCATCTCTTGAACCTATTCATCCCAGATCCAAAACCGATGATGCTCTAACCTCTGAGCTAAGCAGACCCACATAATAGAAACTTTCTATCTATAGGAATTTTATGCACTACGCTATAGTGTTTATAGAATATAGAATTTCAAATAATGAAAAAACCAAAAGCTTTGCCCTTCCTCTTTATCCATCTAAGGGATGGAAGGACGGAGGCCTTTGATGACCACTCCAGTCAAGAATTGGGGCCTCACAATCACTGGCCAATAGGCTTTTCTCTCATGCCTTTCTTCATTCATGGTTCAATATTCTAGTGTCCTAGGCGTAGAGGAACCACACCAATCCATCCCGAACTTGGTGGTTAAACTCTACTGCGGTGACGATACTGTAGAGGAGGTCCTGCAGAAAAATAGCTCAGCGCCAAGATGATAAAAAGCTTAACACCTCTCATTCTTATTCGTTTTTCAAAGAGGATGAATCGATCATCATCAGAAGAATTAGGCCAAAAATTAGGATACATTCTAGGAAAATCAAACTTCCATCGAAGAGAAGCAAATGAAAAGCTTTCATAAAAATTCTCGTAGAATTGAGAATGAAGTTTTCATTCTGTACATGTCATATCATGAATTAGTAACTGCATCTAATTTCCAAAAAATCGCCAATCCCTGGACTATGTGATCTGGTGGGTTATGGGCGAGCATTTTACCAAAGGTTTCTAATATACCTTTGTGTGATTCCTGTTGAAGCATATACTCGGGTGGGTGCAGGACGGACGATTTTCAAGCAGACTCCCCATTCATTAGATAGAGAAGATCACTAAGATTTCATGATTTGCTGTCGAACTTATTCCAATTCCAAGAGGAGGGGCTTGCGTCTGATTAGCTAGTTGGTGAGGCAATAACTTACCAAGGCAATAATCAGTAGCTGGTATGAGATGATGATCAGCCACACTGGGATCGAGACACGGCCCAGACTCCTACGGGAGGCAGTAGTAAGGAATTTTTCGCAATGGACGAAAGCCTGACGGAGCAGCTAGTTGGTGAGGTAATACCTTACCAAGGTAATGATCAGTAGCTGGTCTGAGAGGATGATCAGCGACACTTGGACTGAGACATGGCCCAGACTCATACGGGATGTAGCAGTGGGGAATTTTTCGCAATGGGTGAAAGCCTAACAGAGCAATATCGCGTGGAGGTAGAAGGCCCACGAGTCGTGAACTTCTTTCTCGGAGAAGAGTGGCAATAAAGGTGACTTATCTGTCAACTTTTCCACTATCGCCCCAAAAAAATCAAACTCTGCCTTACATAAAGTTGCCAGAGTACGATTAACTGCTGGATTTGAAATCACTGCTTATATACCATGTATTGGCCATAATTTACAAGAACATTCTTCAGTCTTAGTAAGAGGGGGAAGGGTTAAGGATCCATTTCAATTGGAATTTGGTTATTCATCATGTACGAGGATCCCCGCTAAGCATCCATGGCTAAATGGTTAAAGCGCCCAACTCATAATTGGTGACTTCGTAGGTTCAATTCCTACTGGATGCACGCAGCTCATAATTTCAGAATTTCTATGCGAATTAAGATCAAGAAAAGGAAGTTTTCCAATCACTGACTCAACCCCATTGTCGATTTGTACTCCACAGGGACCAGGAGATTGGATCTAGCCGTAAAAAGAATGCTTGGTATAAATAACTCACTTCTTGGTCTTCGACCCCTCAGTCAGTACGAATGTCCCTGATCAGTGCAATGGGATGTGTCTATTTATCTATCTCTTGTCTGTCTTCTCTTGATTCAACACACTTTCACTATAGTGTCCGAGTAGATACTATTACTTTATCTCGAACCATAGTAATATTATTTGATTTGATTGAATCATTTATTTCTCTTGTTTCTCTTGAGATTTCTTCAATGTTTATTTCTACACACGTCTTTTTTTTCGCTACTTTAGCTCTTGCTCAAAAAGACATTAAGATGGGTTTAGCCTATTCGACCATGTCTCAATTGGGTTATATGATGTTAGCTCTAGGAATGAGGTCTTATCGAAGTGCTTTATTTCATTTGAATACTCATGCTTATTCCAAAGCATTATTATTTTTAGGGTCTGGATCTATTATTCATTCAATGGAAACTATTGTTGGCTATTCTCCAGATAAAAGTCTGAATATGGCTCTTATGGATGGTTTAACAAAACATGTACCAATTACCCGAATTTCTTTTTTATTAGGTACAATTTCTCTTTGTGGTATTCCACCTCTTGCTTCTTTTTGGTCAAAAGATGAAATTTTTAATGATAGTTGGTTGTATTCGCCCTTTTTTTTTCACAAAATTGGTTGATAGATGGTATTCAGATAAAAATCTTATTTCCTTTCTGTCTGAAACCTTGGCATAGATCCAAACTCCGTAGCAGCATGTATAAGAGCTGAAATAGGAGTAGCTCCCTCCATAGCATCAGGTAACCATACATGAAGGGAAAATTGTGCAGATTTAGCAACTTCAACGGTAAATAATAGAGCAGCACACAAAGTAACAAATGAAGAATTGACTTTATTATTATAAATCAAATTATTTAACATTTCGAATAAATCCCTAAATTCGAAACTATCAGGGAACAATGAAGCTTCATAGGGTCTTTCTGTTCAGGTGCAGGTGGTCTACATCTTCACAGACATGTCTATTTCACCGAGTCTCTCTCCGAGACAATGTCCAAATCGTTACGCCTTTCGTGCGGTTCAAAACTTACCCGACAAGGAATTTCACTACCTCAGGACTGTTATAGTTACGACCGCCGTTCATCGAGACTTCGGTCGTCGGCTCCCCTATCATCAGGTCACCAACTTTCTTGACCTTTCAGCACTGGGCAGGCGTCAGCCCCCATAAACCAAGGTATATCTTTTTTATCAGAGGTTGAATCGATCATCAGAAGATGAATTAGGCCAAAAATTAGGATACATTCTGGGAAAATCAAACTTCCATCGAAGAGAAGCAAATGAAAGGCTTTCATAAAAATTCTCGTAGAATTGAGAATGAAGAGCAGTTCTAGAACCATCAATGATTGGTGAACCGGCAGATCCGTTTGCAACCCCTTTGGAAATATTACCTGAATGATATTTCTTTCCCGTATTTCAAATACTTTGTACAGTGCCCGATATTGGAAGAATCCGTTGAGTCTTCCAATATCAATGGTTGATTATTTCGCTCTTGTATCTTCCAAAAGGAAAAATGATCTCTGAGAGTTGTTTCCTGAATCCGAAAGAGAGTACTTGGGTTCTCCCAATAACTAAAAAGTTAGCATAACTGAATCTAACTGGGGTTCGCGGTGGTGGAGGAACTAGATCGGAAAAAAGAGGGATTCTAGTTATAATATATCTAATGAAATCGTCGCTGGAGTAACCAGAGTCATTCTTTGATAAATGATCACCATGAGTTAGATTCAATAGAATTTGATCAATCCTTTTTTCTATCGTTAAAGTGGAGAGCTCAACTAAGAATCCTTTTTCTTCATCGTCAATCGAATCCCCATCAATTCCTTGAGTTTCATTCTTACGAACGTACTCCCCAGGCGGGATACTTAACGCGTTAGCTACAACATTGCACAAGTCGATACACACAGAGCCTAGTATCCATCGTTTATGACTAGGACTACTGGGATCATTCGGTCTGAATGCTACATGAAGAACATAAGCCGGATGACGGAACGGGAAGACCTAGCATGTAGAAGATCATACCATGAGTGATTCGACAAATTTGGATTCATATAGATATCCACCTATGTGATACTTCATTGTACGATATATCAAAAAATCCATCTGTATAGACATCATCATCTATACGTCTTGATTTTACTGCTATATCGGGAGTTACTCCACGTATTGCTTGACGTAAAACAGATAGTGGATTTGTTTCTGACTTTTGTTGAATCTTTTTCATGGCTCGATAGATAATTTGATAAGCCAATGATTTTTTTTCCGTGAGAACTCAAACAATTTCTTTGTTTTCAACGCCTCCTAATTTTCAGGATTTAGTCACTTCAATAGCCTTTGATGGTTATACGGGTATCCAAAGTATGAATGAGATGGATGTTTGTTGTCCCAACCATTCTTTTAGTCCCGAGCCCAACAAGGAATGGGCAGGAACTGCCATTCTAACTCTTCTCGGGGGATTCCATCCACAAACACAAAGTTTATGGTTGACCGATATTGCTCATCATCATCTAGCGACCTTTAAAAAAAAGGAAAAATAGGAAAGAAAAAAGCCCATTTGTTTTGGAAATTAAATTCTGCCCCCTGACATCCTTTCATAGAAAGGGAGAAATTAATTGATGTATTTATTGGATCCGTCAGGAGTGACGGGCTCGAACCCACAGCTTCCACCTTGATAGGATGGTGCTCTGACCAATTGAACTACAATCCCAGGAAAATAAGGGATCTAGCAGAAAATTTTATTCTTTTTTGATCTTCGTATTTCGTATGAGATATTTCGGAAGGACAAGGGGGTTATACCATCTCATGATAGATTGGCGAATTATTGGGTTGAGCTGGACAGGTAAATTTCATATGGAATTTACCTCCGAAGATTA